ACTGGATGGGCTGTGAGGTCCCTTCCAACTCCAACCATCATATGATTCTCTGAAAATTAAGTTTAGCTGTCACTACACCAGAGGTCTTTCAGGGTTATCTGGTAAAAAAACCAGGAGTTTGAGGCAATGCTGACTTTGGACTAGCACTGCATTAAAGTCTACCACTAGAACTGGACACATTCGTTAAGATTTTACCCTGCATTAGCCTTTTCCTCAATTCTTCACATTGGCTTAATGGGATCGGCATGACAACTTTCTATTGATCACTGATGTTGGAAAGACATGTTCAGTTGTTATTATCGCAGAGGAAATTAGATTTAGAAAAGTAGCAGAATTTAAGTGTTTAATAAAGCAGCTTATTTGCTGTTTTCATAGGAATGTTGGTTTTATAGCTATATGATTAATAAAATGCGCTTCGGAAATCTCAGAGCTCCTGAAGATAGAGCCAACGTTGACAAGATGCGGTAGCAGCTGTCACAGCGGATAGGCCCTGGGTGTATTCCCAGACAACAAATATCACACTCCAAGGTATGACTCACTGTATGACATCTTCCTGCTCTTCTTTGTTTTGGGTCAAATCTTATAAGGTCTGTATTATCTTTAAAATCCATAATAATTTCAGTTAGGGCATAAATGCATGGTAGAAGTGATATGTTGTCAGTCACAAATGGCAACATAAGCCTTACGTGGTGCATCAGCCTGAAACCTAACCCTGCGTTCAGATCCGTGCCAACCCTGCATCCACCTAAGTCCCCTCAAAACCAAACTACGTGCTTCCTAGCAAAAATCAAGGTGTTCTGCTCCTTTCGGAACACTGTAACTACAGTAAAATAATACAGGGGTATTGAAGATTTGCTTGGCTGAAATTAACAGCCTGCTGACTTATTAAAGGTAAAATCCTCAACAAGTCTCTTAAGGTGTTCTTTCAGACATGAAAACATGAGGCAATTAATTCCAATTTTGGTTTTATAAATTAGTACAAATGTTAATGTACTTTTGTTAGTTAGTACAAAGAATTAGTGGACATACATCATTCACTAAAGTTAACTCAGGGCACCTGCAACAAGGCCGGAAGATTCTCAAAGACACTAATTTAAACCCGTAAGTCTGTGGTATGTAATACTCACAGGGCAGTCTCTCTCCTTTCCAAGTTCTCCACTTATCAGGTATCACAATCCACTGGGTTTTGTTCTTTAAGATTTGCTTTTCAGGCCAAGACTTGATGAATGATGTCATTAACCATTAATGCTCTATGGCTGAGTAACTCTGACCTCCTTGACATAGGAAAACAGTCTGTTGTCCTGCCTCTAAAAAAAACCACCCTATCTACTTAAAAATAAATATAATCTAGTATGAATAGAGTCAAGTCACTTTTAGGAGCGTGCCAAGTTGGGTGCAGTCCAACATCTTTCCAATTAACTGCGGAAAGCTTGCAAAGAACTAAAAAAAGTTGAGTATGTCTCACATCTACTGCAACAGCATATGCCAGGTTTGGATGTGGGACAACACCTAACAGTTCTGAAGACACATTACTTGAGATGTTTTAAAAGAATAAGACTTTTTCTTTCAGTGCAGAAAGAACTTCTATCCCACCATTACACTTTTCCATCCTGGAAAACAGAGGCTTGCATTGCTGTAGGAAGCTGGGCCTGTGATCCCTTATCTTACAACTTTGCAGGTGCTTTGAACTAACTTTGCAAGAGTGTGTTCAGGAGGTGTTACACAGCAATCAGATGCTGTAATTGCTGCCCTGCTTCTCCTGCCCCAGTGTTAGCAATAACAGCAGCCTTGGAAAAAATAACCAGCCAAAGACAGAAAAAATGAGCAAAGTGCAAAGATTCAAGCATTTTAACCTACCTTTTGGGAGATGCAACACTGCAAACAGGAGGGGTGCAGTGGGTTTGGAATTGACAGAAGGAGAACGTATAAGGAGAAAGACAAAAAAGATAGAAAAGATCAGTGATTTCGTACATCCGCGACAAAGTGAATGAAAGGAGCCTGGAGAGAAACAAAGTAAGGTTTGATTTGAATCACCAAGCACAAGAAAAACAAACAGACAGGTTAAAATATTTCCTATTTTTTTCCCCTTTTTTGCTACCTTCTTGTAGTTATCTGATTGGAAAATAATTCATCATCTTGCACAGGTAAAACACATCTGGAGAAGAGACCTCACATCCTATCAAGTTCACTTCTGCAGCACCCACATCTGCCTACACTGGGAACCAAACTGAGCCAAGTTCACGGCAGTACCGTGCCAGGGGATACTGAGAAGTTTCAGTATGTTTACAAAAGTAGCTGAGACAGGATAAAAGTTTTTCACTAGCAACTCTGCCTGGCAAGACGGTAAGTAACTACTGGCATTATTTGGCTATGAATTTAATGTATTTTGCTTTGAAGGCATCACTTGTTCTGAGCAAAAATACCTCTATGACATTTAACGCAGCAGGAGCTTCTGGGGATTTTGCGGGTTGTTTTTTTTTTTAATTGTTTGGGGCTTTTGTTTGTTTTTTTGTTTGGTTTTTTTTTTCTAAAGCTCTCATTCTGTTGCTGAAGAATGTAATCAGAAAGGATATTACAACTCTTCTGAATTTCAGTGCAGGAAGTAAGCTACACACTGGAAGATTTAATACTTCTGGTTGCGAGTCCCAGGTACAAACGGTCTGAGCTCTACCTAACATTAAAGGCCTTGAAATATTTGAGACTGACAGAGAGGTCTCTTCCAAGATATGAGCAAGGTAAAACACAAGTAACTGTAAACCAAACTGCGAGTCTAAAAATAAACCATTGGAAAAGACTGGAGGGAATTTTACATGTATTTGGGCACATGAAAGAGATTCAGCTAACATTTACGTTATTTTGTAGGCTGAAATCTGGTTAAGTATGTACACCATGGAATGACATCTGCTTGCAACTACTGTGACTAACTCAGCAACACAATTGGCTGGTACCTTTCGATGTTTAAAGATTTGGAGAAAATGAAAGACTGTCCCTCCAAGTTCCAGATATCACACTTACTGACCCCAGAAGACTTCTAGAAGTCATCCTCCCTTCAGAGGTCAGGACAGCTGATAAAACTGTTCCACACAAACTTAGATTTCAAAAATGGTTGGGAGTTTTCTGCAGTCACAGAAGGCCTTAGGAGAAGCAGAACATGCCTACAACACCACTATTTACCTGCACATACATTTGTACTTGGCAAGATGCTGATTTTGTTTATATTAATGCTGCCTTTTCTATATGCGTGGAAAGGTGTTTCAGCTAAACTTTTTATTATTGAGGCTTTTACTATCACACTGGAGCAGCACTTCATTTACTAGTTTCTCAGCTGGCTTTTCCTCCCCTCATTTCTGAAATGAAATTGTGACTATGCAATCATCATTTGGATCGGTATCCTCACTCTTCTCTTTGATGATTCTTTCAAAATCATTATTTCTCATAGTACATGGATGAGTCACAAAATACGTCAACTCCTACCTAAAATTACTGTACTCCTGACTTTCAGGAGGCTTGTAGTCAAACTAATTTTAAAAGTAACCTGTAAATAAGACTTATTTCTTCCTTGCTCTGTTAAAATAACTCCCCAGTTAAGCAAAATGTTCCCAGCTGGGACAGTGTTTGCCTACCTACACTAAAGAAACTGCTAAATTCACAGTACTGGGCAGCATGAAATTGCATTTTATACAAATAATCTCATAATTAAGAATTAATTTTCCCATTTGGGTACTCTTCTTCCAAGTAATTTATCAGTGGTTTTTCCAGTTTTGCTAAAATGAAAATCAGCAGAGATATCAGCACGTACGAGTTGAGCTCTTCTCCTTCCCCACTAGTCACCCAAGACTGATTGACTGCTCATCACGGCGGGAAGACTCACGAGATCACTCGGGCTACCTGTAGTGAGAGCCCTACCTTTTCTGTTTGACCGTGATGCCCTTCTGCTGCAAAGCCTTCTCGTTGGCCATCTGCAGAAGCTGGATCTCCTTCCGCGAGAAGAGGCGGATAGCAAAGGCTTTTTCCAGAAGCCTCTCCGGAGACACTGACTTGGCAATGTCTCTCACAAAAGCTCGAATGTCCTGTTGTATGCTGTCCGACTCCATGGGCTGCCCAGCTCTGACTTTGTGAAAAAATTTCAGAAGCGCCAGCGCAACACGATAGAGAACTTTGTAGCCCTCCACCAGAAACACATCAAAGACCCGAGCAATGTACACCATAGGCAGTTCCCCAAAGAGCCACCGTTGCCAGTCAGAGTACACCTCCAACACATCCTCAGACACTGCCACCATCAGCTTATGTGCTGCCTGACAGTATTTGTTAACCAGGTCACCAAAAGTCATGCAGGAGGACTCAAAAGCTAAGAACGTCTGATCAATGAGCCGCTTGGAAGGGTCATTGCAAGCAAGGATGCGACAAACCTGTTCAAAACACTCTGCCTCATCTTTGCTGTAGTGCAGGAGCAAAGCTATCACAGAAGGCAGCGCCGGGCAAAACGATATGTCTGGGAACTGATTCGCAATGCACAATATAATCTTCCTGACCGCCCCAATGCCTTCGGCGTTCAAGCAGTACGTGGGGACCAGGCTGTTGTCCACAAACTCTGGTAGTGGAAGGGAGCTACTGTTACGTTTTCCAACGATCTTCACAACAATGTCCCGGTACACATTTGCATCTGGGGTCACTGTGCGGCATGGGATATTGCTAATTAGTTTGTGGTACACTTTGGCTCTCAGAGAGTGGTTCTTGGCCCAGTAGCCCTGGCGGGCCAGCTGCTTGAGCTCCTGGAACTCCGTGCAGGTTAGCTCCTTCGCATCCTGGCTCTGGACAGTAACATCCATTTTGTCCCAATCCACAAAGCGGTTGTATTCATCCATGGCTCCAGGAGAAGCATATCAGATAAATCATGAAAATTGAGACCTTATTTGGTCATTAAATGACTTGCAGCTTTTCCTGAAAAAGGAAAAGTAAAAAAATAGAGGTTTGAGGAACAGGTAATCTCCCATTTTCTTTAGAAACACACATACATTCAACTTGTCCCTGCAATGCCAAAAATGTTTTCTAAAGCACAGAAAGTTAAACATGTGTGCCTTTTTATCTTTAAGCCAAACTTTATTTCATTCTGTCAATAACGCATACTGAAGGAATTTATCAGTGGCCAGCCAAGAAGTTGATTCTGAGGACATCTCCACAGGAAGTTAATTCCCCTAACTGAAGGTCCAAGGTGAGGCATGGACCATTACGTTAACTTCTCACTTTGAGAACAGAAGCCTCCTGCTTCAAAAATATCCATTGCAGAGTCTGTTCAATTCACATTCTTCCTAACTCTCTGGGGAAATAGCTGTTACTTATACTACAAGGATGCAGTCTCACGAGCAGCTTACACTGTTCTAAGACTGTGTGGCCAGTGACAAGAGACACTGACCTCCTGCTAGCCACAGTCACGTATTCTTAGTCATTTTTTCGTGCATGTACTAGCACTCGTGTGGCCACACAGTCACTGTGATTTGCTCGTTAATCTGGTACAATTGTTCTTTTCCATTGGATAAGGAAGGTCCGCGGCTGTATGTCAGCCAGATTAGTGCCAGAACAAAGATGAGTGCAGGACAGAACCACCCTTCCTGATTGCAGTACAGGCTCACGTCAGCTTAAAACAGCTTCATGAAACTGCTTCTTGATTCCAGTACTGCACAGCACTTCTGGTGCTGACCTTGCGCAGACTCCCATGACCAGATCACCCTCTAGAGGGCCTGCTACCACCACCATAGCAGGTTTCAAACACACACCGCTGCAACAGCACCAGGAGCTGAAAGATGTCTGGGCTCCAGTTCCTCAAACCACGTTTACACGATCTACCAGCTGACTCCAGCTTTAAAGTACACCAGTGTCCCAGCACACAGCATGACTGCAGCCACTAATGGCCATACCCAAATCGGCTTCAAACACCTCAGTGCAAAACTAGGGGAGATACAATAAAATGCACTTATAACAGCAGGCAACAGGTTTGCCCAGCGCTGGAACATTTCTGCCAACGTGTTCTCAGTGTCAGATTAAAGCTAGGAAGCACGTGGCCGTTGATGCTGCACACTCTGCAAAAGCAGATAATCCCTATAAAATGCAATTGGCCTATAAAACTGTTTTGTACAATTAAGACATTATGTAGCAAGGTTAAGTCAACAAAAACAGTTACTGAAATGCTTCCAAAGAACCCTTAGTCGTTTGAGTCACAGACTGGAGAATGCACGGAACTTGACATTTCTCAGCATAGTCTTTCATACAACAGGTGCATGAAAACGATATGAAACTCATAAGGTAGATAAACCATCAAGACAGCCAACTCACTCTCCCTATTTCACTACAGGAAAGTAAACCAAAAATTTTGCCTCTTGTAAACATACAGTTAGCATTAGCTTGGACAGCAATACATTTAATTCAGACAGTTTTAGAGTCTGACTAAATATTAATCTGGATATTTCGGAATCACATGCTGAAATTCCAAAATTTAACTCCTCTTCTAAAAGGTTGGCAGCAACACACAGGAGCATTTCAGGGAAGCTTTTGGATGGCTCTTCTCTATCAAATATTTACTTAAGGGTTTGGGTTTTTTTTTAATAAAAAGAAGATTCTTTTTGAATCATCTTTGTACAATGTAAGAGCAATACAGAAATACTCGCCATTTCTTTTTGTTGTATTGTTCCACACCTGAAACTAGCTCTCAGACTGTAATTAAAGGAGGCAATACACTGTCCTGATCAGTTCTGAAAGCGAGATACCTTATGATGTTCGGAAATGATTATCTCTCAGTGTGAGCTGAGAGCGTCTCTTCCGGATCTGCAAAGATGTAATGGTAGGATACCAGCCCATTGCAGAGTCAATGTCAGCTCCACGGAAGTTAACGTTTTTCTATCATTCTCCACCTGGGAATCATAGGGAAACTCATTATCTTTAATTCAAATCCTAGAAAAAGATCCTTGTGGAGAACAGAAATTTAATCCTATTTAGCAGCGACCAAAGCAGAGAGAGATGAACCATTCTGTTCATGGTCACTTCAGTATAGAAACCATTATTATCCTGTGCTGGTTGGAGTCTCCACTATGCAACAACTTCCCCCTTCTGCCATTGTCCCTTGGGAGCTGCTTATATTTATATTAGGGAGGGTTAAGTAAAATGTCCATCATACAAGACAACTTCTAAGATACTCAGTTACATCTCTGTTGTCCTTCTTCCTGAAAACTCTCTTCTCCCTCCTCCTTACTCTTTCCTGTGTTATTTTCTATCATTCAGAGACGCAGGCATATTTAGAGGTTGCATCAGCCATTTTACCCTCTGGAAGTTACTGCCCATTCCAGAAAGTAATGAATTTGATGAGTACGTGCTCCTCAGCAAGCTTACTCAAGTCCATGGCTACAGGATGGAAGTCAGACTGCCAGAACTTTTGATTTGAGCTTATGGTCTTATACCTACTTTGTCTGGGATAAAATCTGCTGGGTCTGCAAGTAGGTCTGGCTGCTTACGCTTTTCAAAGCTGTAGATACTGCAAGAAGAAATGACAGCAAAGCAAATAGGCATCGTCAAGGTTGCCAGAGCATGACCAGCTCTCAACTGTGCTTGCAAAACCAACAGAATTAGCGTGCTTCAGTGTAATGGTGCATAGCTCCTGACACTGGGCCAACAACTACTGTAAGCCAGCAGGCCTCGAACGGGAGTATTTACTTGCCAAAGGAGAAGAGCCCAAGAAATCTCAGGAAAATTCCAGCCAGCCTTCATCTCCTCCTCCCACTCCTTCCAAAACTTCCTCCCTCCCTCTGGGCAAGTTCTCTTTTTTGGCAACCATGTAAAGAGCAATGTTTAACTTTGAGCTCGTGGGAAGAGGAGACAAAAGCTGTCTTGCATTCAGTAGCAAAGGGCCACCTCCTATCCATCTCTCCGACCACCACAGGGGAGCAAGCAGGCAGTACAGACCGTTCTGTTTGGAGGTACCAAAGGCTGGACTGTCAGTTAAGGAATAAAACTAGAGGAGGATGGCTGTGTAAGATTGTGTGTCTGTCAGAAAGTCCCATCTTCACCTAAACTAACCAGCTTTCATATATAAAGGACAGCTAAGACACAGGCAGAAGAGAAAAAAAACACTTCAGAATGAAATGTTTGTATAAAGATATAGTTAAAGACAGAGACCCATTTATACCCTCTCATTGCAACAAATCTCTTTCCCCCTTGCTAAGATAACTTTAGAGACATTAGCATTGTGTCGTGGTAAGTATCCTCCAACTGGACATGGGGACAACAGGATGGATCAGCACCTGAACTGCACACCACTGAAATGCTTTCACTTAGAACAGCTTTCTGTTAGAACAGAACTATAAGGAAACTGTAAAAATTATTTAAAAAAAAAAAAATTAGCATTACTTATAACAACAACACAGCTGGAAAGCTATGTATATCTTATTTAAGGGGAAGCAGCCATCGTCCTTTCTAATCAGACAGACTTTTACAAAACAGTAGGAATTAACACAGAAGAACAGAACGAGGAGAAAAATTTTCTTAATAACTGCCGCACAATTTTGAGATTGTTAGATCTATTTGTCTATAATGGAGCTCTTCAGTTAAGTGCAATATAAAAAAAAACCCAAAACAAATACACAAGTGAGAAGTAGAACTAGAAAAATGCATCCTGAAGATATGCCAAAAATGGTTGCAGAACAGGCAAAAGATTTTTCAAGGTTAGGCTTAAACTATGAAGCGAGCAAGTAATCATTACAATTCAAAACCAAGCCATGACCATGGTAACTGGAACTGGCATGATTTCAAGCCGGTTACTAAATTTTTAGAAAATATTTAGCTTGCTAGTCTAGCCACGTTTTCCATTCCATTGCCTTAGTCTTTCCCATTGTCATTTGGGCTACTTTCAAAAGACAGCTGAAAATTACGCTGAATTTGTATAAAATATACAAGAGTGAAGCCAAGCATGGCAGTCAAAAGTCCAATTACTGCCTGTGAAGAAAAATTCTATGAAAGTGTCCAAAAAGACATCAGCAGAAAAAGAGAAGATTTGAATTATGACTTACCTTCATTAAGGGAAGTATAAAGCTACAATTTTACTAAAGATAACATGGCTAGGGACAACTTTAACAACTTTTTTTGCTTTCCAAAATGCAGGAATTGGCAAACTGACATATCTGAAGTACAACTAATCCAGAGGACAATTATTTATTTCAAATCCAGAGTACAGGCAGTACTCCACAGCAGCAAAACATTTACATTTTAAACTTTAAAAAAATAAATTCCAACTTTGGTTAAAACCTGAGATTACATGATTTGATATTGCTTTTAATAAACACAAGAAAGTTACCTAAAAACCCAAATTATAATTAATCAGGAAAATCTTGTCCCCTATTCCATTTAGCTACCCTTGCAACTCTGTGTTCTGAAAGTTTGACTACAGATTAAGCTTATTAAGACACTTCATCCAAATCTAGTGTAGCTGCTCTACAACAAGAACCTCAAACTTTGAAAATAACATTTTTCACCTTAACCATGAACAGTTACACCACCTTTGATTCAGCTATTTGCTATGTACTGTACAGACACAGATAGATACTGACAACCAAAATTTTGGCATGCATTTTTATAATGTGCTAACAGAAAGCAAGTATTTTTCTTTTGCTGCTCTACAAATCAAGACTAATGCTAGACTCCCAGCCCTACAGCATACCATTTGCTGTTTATATGGTTGAGTAATGATGTAACCAGAGAAAAGACTCAAATCCACTCTCTTCAATAACCTCGTTAAACTAATCCGTGCAGAAGGCACATGAACAGATAATGAGAACTGCTTCCTTAAGACTGCTAGCTATTAGCCCTCATCCCAGTAAAAGAA